TGATTTGGATCTACAGCTTGCTCCAGTAATCTCTCTTCTTGTACCCCATCTCTGTCTAGATACAGAATCTGGAATTCTTCCTCTCTCCCTGCCTGCGGGATGATAAATTTAGCATTGACTCTCCGGAACGAGGACAGAATTGTTAGAATGCAAAGCTTGATTGACTACATCTTGGTCCAACAAAACCTTAGCTGGCCTTTCCAAAATGTGATTTAACATTGAGCTAGAGACAGGAGACCTGGCTTTTAGCTCTGACTTTGCCGGTAACTTTCCATGGTGAACTTCTGTGGATTGTATTCCCACCATCGATTTTCTTCTTACCTTCACAATGGAATCCAACATTTCTGAGCTGTGAGATTTTGGTAAACTGATCCTAGCACCAGCTCTAGGGTGAGACCCTGTCTGGCTAAAGTCATTCTTAACCCATCCAAGTGGTTACAATGATAGGTTCAGATATGTACCATGTACCAAGGCAAGTGAATCAGAGCCAATATGACTAACTTCTGAATCTTTGGTTGAATTATTGAAGGAAACGATGTCCGTGTTAGTCAGCTTTGGAGTATAGCTGGCTGTTTTCCCAGATGAGAAAGAAAGGAACGGGGAGTTCAGACTTTCTCATTGTATTGTAGATGGTGGTACAAGTGAGTCAGCAAAGGCCACTCTGAGGGTAATACTATTTTTAGTTGAGGCCTAAAGAATGGGGGACTATGAGGGTGGCAAAACACAGTGTGTCCTCATCAGGCAACAGGAGTTGTAAATGGAGATCTGGGGACCGATTGACTTGATGTCTGAAAGTCTTAAACGTAAAAGCGGCATCTGTCCAATCTCAGGGTGCACATGCCCTCCCCTGACCCACATTTGCAGTCATAAAGCAGACCCTCCTCCCTCCTATAGGTTTATCCATTTCTGCTGGGACTGCAATTTTCCTTGAGCATAGAAATTGTGTCTTCGTCAACTCAATGCCTCCACAGCACCTGGAATGTGCTTTCCCTGTGCACACTGAGTTGGATCCCAGGTGGCAGAACGAGAGGAGATGAGGGAGGTCTCCCAGGTAGGAAGGAGGATGGTGAGCTCAGTCCATTACAAAGGTACAGGGCTGGCTGGAGGGAGGACTCAGGTGGGAGATGAGAAGAAATGGGGCCACAAATTTATGTTTGGAGAGAGCCTCAAATGCCAAGATAAGGAATTGGGGCCATATGATCCTTTTATAGAGGGGGATTAAATAATAAGGCAATCAAAGGACACATCTGTGTAGCTAAAACACACTTAGTCTCTTTGACTATTTGGGCTGTTGACAGACCATTTGGCAATGGGGAATTTGTGTGAGCAGAAAACACATTAAGCTCTGGAGACAGCTTGGGAAGTTTCTGGCTTTTGCTTTTGCTTTTGGCGACCTTCCAAGAATAATGAATTATATATTTAGGCTCATTCCCCACAGGTGTGGACAATCAGAGTGCTAGTTTTTAAAAAAGCTAATTCATGGTGAAAATACAGCACATTCAGTTAGTGGGAGTGGAACTAGAGGAAGCCAAGCCTACCATTGCTTGGGTCTCCTTAAACACACACACACACACACACACACACACACACACACACACACACACACAGTTTAGCATCTCATCCTAATCCCTGTGGACACCTGGAATCTGAATAGACTGTGAATTGCTTGTTCAACGTTTTCAACATATCCAAAATCAAACCAATTTTCGCCCCCGCTCAATCATCTTAGTGACTTACGTATTTCTATTTCCCTTTGTTTTCTACGTGACTATCTTCTCAATCATCCAGGGCTGAAGACTGAACATCATATAGGCTCCACCTGCCATTGCTGCTCCTCATTCAGTCTCCAGTTTTGCCGATCTCATCAGCATCATTTTGCCTAGATCGGGGCTCCAATAACTCCATGTTTGTGTTTTCATGGAGGCTCATCCAAGAACCTGTTGCAACACTGGGGTAGCCTTCATTTTTGGAACAACTTCAAATTTACAGAAGGTTGTAAAAACATTACAAAATCTTTCCTCCTCTGACTCATTTAAGAATAAGTTGCCAAGATGATGCCCCACAATCACAATACAACCATCAGATCCAGAAAGTTAAAGTTGATACGTGATTGCAATCTATTCCTGAGTCCATGCAAATTTTCCCACTTGTTCCAATATCTTTTTCAGTGGAAGAATACAGTTTATTGCCATGTCTAGTTAGTATTTTTCAGTCTTTTAACAGTGCCTGTTTTTTCTTGACTTTTATAACCTCGACAAAGTTGAATATTACATATACCTCTTACTTTGTAAAATGCTCCTCAGTTTGGTCTGGTTTATTGTTTTCTTATAGTTTGACAAATTATGCATATTTTGCAGGAAAGTCACAGAAGTGATAAGGCATGTTTCTCATTGATTGCAACTTGTCCCATTACTAATGTTAACTTTATTTAATAAGGTGATGTCTTGCTTCTTTCCTGTATAATTGATGTTTTCTTTTTGGTGGTTAATCATTTGGGACTGTGTAAATACTCTATTTCTCCTTAACTTTCAAGTTATTATTTATATCAGTGTTTAATTGTGGATTCCTATTTTAGCCAACTAGTTATAATCTGTACTATACCACACCATAGATTTTGATCAACAGAGCCCCTTCAAGATGGTTCTGTACCTATGACGTGAACCAATAACCCATTACCACTTGAGCATGGCCTCACTTTCTGTCACAAGACCTAAGCTTATCTTACACTTGCCCTGCCGTGTCCCTGAAAGAAATCACTTCCATAAGGTCCCTTGGTACCTTTTATCAAAGAATGGTATTTAGGTACCAAGAACTGGATTCTAGATGTGCTTATTACTACTAGATTTTCAGTGCTCCGGATATTTTCAGCAGATGACCTAGGGAATACACTATTTGTACTTATTTTTTATATCTGTATGTAAGGAAAACCACAGGTTCAGACCAGTATCACTAGTTCTTTATACTTTTCTCCTTTTCTGCATTTGTCACTCCACTCCTTCCTCTGAAAATAAACTTGTCTTCTATGATCATAATCATATGTACATATTGATCAACTCTTTATGTAGCCAATCTCCCATTACTACTATCCTTGCCACCATCATGGATATCTCCCCCCTGCAGTATCTGGGCACACGAGGCTGCTGCCCTGCTGTGTCCTACTGACAGGCGCTTCACTCACCTGGGGCTGACCTTATATGCTGGGCTGTTGCCCATGTGGATATGCACCTTACACAGCCTAAATTCCATCACTTCATGCTAACTAGCCCCACCTCCAAACCACAGGGGAGCTCACTGCATCCCTCCTGGGCTCCAACACATTGTGCCAAGATGTCTTTTGTGAGGGTGCCCTTTTTATCCCAATTGAGCTCTGATACCTTGTACTGGCCTTTCCCTCTGAGAGATTCTCCATCATCCCTCTTAGAATATTACACATTTCCCCAAGGGAATGGTCTCAAGTGGTGTCCCTTCATCTTTTTCGATGTGTAAAACAAAGCTCTGAATGTGTATTGCTACTGCTCACAAACTCTCAGATGAAAGACTATTTGAAAACCTTCTGGGAGAGAGTCACTATGTTTAATTCAATCTTTAAGACTTCCCTCGTATAAGCCAAATTTATTATGTTTATCACTATTTACTGTCCATAGTTATCCTGTAACTGATCACCTGACATTTTTCAAATGTACCTCAATATTCTCCTGTGTGCCTTATACTATTTTGATTCTGGATCTGGAGTTCCATAGCCTATCTACTCTAATGACACCATCCCAATTTCTTACACCTCTAACATCTGTCTTCTTTATAGTCTCAGCTCAAATGTTGCCTTTTCTATGAAAAATTTCTTGACTGCTATGCACTCCAAATTCATATACAATTTTGTAAGAAATGCTTAGTTCATTTAATGATTATGTTTTATAAATGAAATTAAATTGGTGTTAAAATAAATCCTCTGAGATTCAATACATCCTCTGCATGTAACCAACTTCATTCTCAGAATCAGGACTTTTTGATGCTTCAATTTCTTCCCTTATTGCAGCTCCAAAGTATCATATTCCTTCATCATAGAAAATCCAGGCCATGGCTGACTCCACTTCTGAGCTTCTTTTATTTGTTCTTTGGTTAAATAAAGATCAAATCTGATTCCTTTAAAATTAAAATCTGGACATTTCCAGCTTTTGGACCAGGGCTTAGCTTTCATTTTTATTTTCAGCTTATTAACAGGAAGTTCTTGGCTCCTGGCTTCATATTTAAACCCAGGCAGGGCATCTTGTAAGTATAGCAAGCTACCATTCAGTCATTTCTCTAATGTGACCACTTGGATCTAGTAGATTCAAGCCTCATAAAGTTCAAAGCAAATTACAACACCTTGCCATTCAATAATATTTATAAGGATAAAAGTAGCTCCAAGTCCTTCTCCCGATCTCTGGAAGCAATTCTCCAGAAACTGGTTGGTTTTTTCCAC